TAAATAAACGTTGAAAAAAAAAATTAAAAAAAAAAAGTTGAAAACTACTAATTAGTCCAGTTCATTTCATCTGACAGTTGAAGAACCTGAAAGTCTGAGAAGTCATTTAATATCAGAGCTGGGACTAGAACTCAGATCTGTGGTAAAAATGCTGATTCTATTTTTGCTGTGCTGACATATGTTTCCTGTTCAGAATTTCATGGTGTGTTTTGATGGAATAAACATTACTCCAATATATGCTTGTAGTAGTGCAATTGAGCATTATGGGGGAAAAAAAAGGAATACAGTATGTCTATATATTTTAAGTCAGTGACTTAGGAAAGAATATCCTAAAAATATCCACGTTGATCCTGAAAATCTTTTGTGAAATTTGTCAGCTAGGAGGGCCACCACAACAGTCTAGCAACAAAGAATTTGTGGACATTTGGGAGGCACAATTACAATCATTGACTCTCGATCTGAAGAAACTTTTCACCAACCAGCTCTTTTATTTTTTTAAATTTATTTTTTTATATTTATCATCAAAGTGTAGTTGATATACAATGTTATATTAACCGGATCTCCTAAAAGCAACCCTTTGAAGTGATCGTCTGACCTCTACTTGAATTCTCACTCATAGATTATAAACTTAGATCCTCTGTCCCTTCTGATCCCACAGATCCCCATTGGCACCGAGATCGAAGGGATGAACATTTTAGGACTGGTCCTCTTTGCCCTGGTGTTAGGAGTGGCCCTAAAGAAACTCGGCTCCGAAGGAGAAGAGCTCATCCGTTTCTTCAATGCCTTCAATGAGGCAACGATGGTGCTGGTGTCATGGATCATGTGGTAAGTTTGGCCTGTGCATTAGTCTCCCTCTTATTTCTCCTGCCATCCAGAAAAGAATCCCAGTCTGCTGTCCGAGGTCACCCCTGTGGGGCCAACCTGGCTCAGAACTCCATCTGTGGTTGATGCGCCTTAGGCCAGACTTGATAGAGGGGGTGGTGGAGGTGGAGAGGTTTCTCCTCACGTCCCCAGTCTCAGAGAATCAGGAATGTGCCATAGCTACCTGTGCCTTCTTCACCACCCACGGTGACCCCTTATGGTTCTGTCACTGGTGATTTATGTATGGGCTTCTACCATTATCCATATCATATAGGATGCCCATACCATCTTGTGGGTCAATCAGCTCCATAAATCTGCTATCTGCTATGTAAAATAAGGCTTATTTATCTTAAAACCATACACCTCAGGCTTCAAAGGGGCCCCTTACTATAATATTTCACAGCATGGAGGACAAATTCATTTTCATCCCACGCATATATAAACTTGGAATGGTCTCTTTTTACATAAATGTTTCTTTATGTGACATCAATAAAAGGGCAGTTGTTTAATAAAAACCATTTGATTGATTCTGGCTAACAAGTAAAAATTGGACCAGATCTCTCAAAATGATTTCCTAGAAATCCTACCAATTCCAGCACCTATTCCTTATAAGCTTTATCTTGCTGTTTTACTCAAGTCAAACTTCTGTGGGTTTTAACTTCTACACATACATTGTCAAAAAACTTAGTTTATTCTTTCATACACAAAGCATTTTCCTTATTGTAAACCCTTAAATATCCCAGAACTTCTATCAGATAGCATTAGGGTGGCAGATTTTAGGACAGAAGCCTGGAATTTGGTAGTGAAGTTTATCATTAATGGGAGGCCAAGTCCAGAGCCCCCACTGGTGGTGTTTATCTTCCCCAACCAAAAATTCCAGAATCTGACTCTATCCTTGCAAATGTGACCCTTCATATGACTATTGTTGTTCTGGGGAGAAAAATATTTTCAGAAAGAAAAAAGTATTTTCATCACATGTCAGGTTCTTTTCCTGGCTTAAGTTTTTAGTCTAAAATATTCTCAAAAGTTTAGATTACAGGAGATTATTCAAGAAAGTGATGTTCTTGAGTTAAGACACTTTCAATCTGGAAACCAATTTATAGTCATTCCTTCAATTCAAGGTACTAGTCACAGAGGCAGAGCCTGCTGTGTGTCTGACTGGAGTGGTGATCTGTTGCCCAGTAAGGGCATCTCACCAGAATTAGGGTTTAAAATGCCTTACCTGGGGGCGCCTGGGTGGCTCAGTCAGTTAAGCATCCAACTCTTGATTTTGGCTCAGGTCATGATCTCACAGTTCGTGAGTTCGAGTCCCACGTCAGGCTCTGTGCTGACAGTGCAGAGCCAGTTTGGGATTCTCTCTCCCTCTGTCTGCCTCTCCCCCTTCTCTAAATAAATAAATAAATAAATAAATAAATAAATAAATAAATAAGTAAGTAAGTAAATAATACTTTTAAAAGTCTTAAATACATACTTATGTATCTAAATGCATAGTAAGCAAAGTAGTTTTCTGAGGAGGAGTCTGGCATGAGGGTGGTGCCTAAAGAGGATTTTGGCCTAATCTGTGTTCTAATTTTTTGAAAGGACAGTGCATTCATGAGTTGCTATGGAATTTAAAATTAATAAAACTGCTTAGAATATCTGTAAAGAAAATTCAAGAAACCAGTGACATTGGCTATCTCCAGGGAAGGAAACTGAGTACTTGCAGGGAGAAGTGGGAGGGAGACTTTATTCATCCTTTTGAACACTTTCACATTTGAACTATGTGACATTATATTTATGTAATTGAAACTTACAAAGTCAATGGTTATAAAATTCTTCCTAAATTTATATTAACTTCAAAACAGCTGACTTTTGTTTTCTGTAGCTCTCATAGTTCATTTCTTCCCTTTTTTCCTCCCATCTTGCCATTAAAAAAATCTTCACGTTCGAGGAGTGTTCCCTGAGGGTCATTGTTAATGACTTTTTCCCACGGAATCATGTTTTGCAAACCACAAGGAATTTAAAACTTAACAAAAGTCCCAGCTTTGGCTCAGTTCTGTATCACAGCAATTCTACAAAATAGGTGTTAGTCTTTTGTTTTTCTAAGTTCTCAGAACAAGCCTGACCAAGGCTGAAAGTCAGGTTCTCAGTCCCAGAGGCTTTGATCTTGAGGAGTTCCTTGGCTTTCCACTAAGGAGCCCAGGTGGTTGGTAGCATCCCTCTATTAAGAACATAATATACCCAAGGAGAAAGAAGTCTGGGTTCTGGTCCTGACTCTCTTATCCCTGGTGATTTATCATGTTAATTTTACTTAGTTTCACAGCCTATAAAATGGGCCCATCCTTTTTTATTCCTCAGAATCATACTAGGGAGAGCTTCATTTTTTTCTTTTTTTTTTTTTTAAGCAGGTCCCACACTCAAGGTGGGGCATGAACTCACTACCCTGAGATCTAGAGTTGCATGCTCTACCGACTGAGCCAGTCAGGAGCCCCTAGGCTTATCCTAAGGAGAAATGAAGACCACTTAGTTGAAAGTCCCTGTGTTGTGTATCAGGAAGGGTCTGCATCTCCCAGCCCCATCATCACGTCAGTCTTACTGACAAGTACCCTATGCTCATGCCCTAGGTATGTGCCTGTGGGCATCATGTTCCTGGTTGGAAGCAAGATTTTGGAAATGAAAGACATCATTGTGCTGGTGACCAGCCTTGGAAAATATATCTTCACATCCATATTGGGTCATTTTATTCATGGAGGAATTGTTCTGCCACTTATTTATTTTGTGTTCACACGAAAAAACCCATTCAGGTTCCTCCTGGGCCTCCTCACACCATTTGCAACAGCATTTGCCACGTGCTCCAGGTGAGTCGGTTTCAAGTGGCCTTGGCTGCTCGGAGCCATATTACTGTGGGACCAGAACCCAGTCGGTGATGCACAACCAACATCTCGACATGTTTTAATTTCTTGAAAACTCTCAATTGATCTTGTCTGGTTTTTTCAAATTACCAGTCCCACAGTTTTATGGAAGTGGGTTTCTGGGGTTGCCAAAAAGAGGGATTGCCTCATTCCCTCCTCCTTCTTGCTCCTTAGAGGTCGAATCATTATTTAACCCAGTTGTGGGTCCTCACCCTAATTAGTAAGACCTTTACCTGAGTAAAAGAAGGCAACCACTTAACTCAAAACTCACCACAGGGAAGTTCCAGAATGACACCTCCCCAATTCTACCTCTGGATACATGAATTAGAAAATAAGACCAAGGCATCATGGTGAGGGATGCGTCATCCACAGTATTGTGGGATTATTTAATTTAGTACAAAAGATGCACCTTATCATTATTGGAAATCCTTCAAAACAGTTGGGCTTTCCAAATATGTTAAAAAAACTTTCAAAGGCTGGCGGCCCATTGCATTTATACATTTGGTTTTTGCCTCTCTACTGCATGTTTCCTCCCATCCTGACTGGCTATTTATATGACACAGTAGGAATGGTAAAAAGAATTAGGTAGGTAAATTCTCTGGCTTAGACAGAAACAAATCTACTTCTCAGTTGTGCCGGCTACCCTCTGTGGAGCCTGCAGAGCGGGCTGGAGTAGGGCTTGACCTTCGAGTTATTTAGGAACACAGTTACTCTCCACAGTAGCCACTGCTACTTCTTGCCCTAAAAAGGAAAAAAGATCGTAGCTTGCCTTTTACTTTTTTGGGGGAAAAATTCAACATAGGAGATGCACATATGAATAAATAGTTCTTTGTTCTCTTGAGAACAGTTTGCACCATGAGGTAGTGTGTAGTTTCTTGAAATATTTTGAACAGGTGTATACAGGTAAATAACAGGTAAATCTAGGGAGTCAGATCTTGAATACTTTGGGAATTGACAAAACCCCACATCATGACAGAAACTTTGAAACAATTCCGATTCTTCTCTGATTTCGGAGTGCAGGGACCAAAAATGAGGACGATGCTAATTGCTCTGTTCCTGGGTCTGAGCTGAGTGATATATTAGCCTGGCTGGGAAGGACTATTCTCACAGTGGGTTGTTCTTCCATTTCCAGCTCAGCAACCCTTCCCTCCATGATGAAGTGCATTGAGGAGAACAACGGTGTGGACAAGAGGATCAGCAGGTTCATCCTCCCCATCGGGGCCACCGTGAACATGGACGGAGCGGCCATCTTCCAGTGTGTGGCCACCGTGTTCATCGCCCAGCTCAACAACATCGAGCTGAAAGCAGGACAGATTTTCACGATTCTGTAAGCGCACTATTCTTTTCTTCACCTCTAGGCCTGGGTCAAAACTCGAGGGGTTTTGCACATGTGTGATTTCCTTCGGAAAACCTCATGAATACCAGTCTCACCATGACTTGGGGATGTCTCATTAGGAAAACGACAGCGTGAATTCATTACTTGAAGAGAGTGAATCATCTCTCAAGGGCACAGCCGGCAGAATCTAGGGTTGTGTGGTTTTCAGTTTCTAAGCCATAGCTGCCATGTTTTGCATATTTCTCTGTGCCCACACCATGTTCTGTGTTAACGGCTAATCTTCTGTGCCACCCCCTAGAGTGACGGCCACAGCCTCCAGCGTTGGAGCAGCTGGCGTGCCCGCTGGAGGGGTCCTCACCATCGCCATTATCCTGGAGGCCATTGGGCTGCCCACTCATGACCTTTCTCTGATCCTGGCTGTGGACTGGATTGTGTAAGTAGCAAGTCCTAAGGGCACTAAATAAAAGAAAGTCTGTGCTGACTTCCCTGGGAGCTCAGTGCCCTGCAGGGCCTGGGGCATGCAGAGAAACTTCACACATGCTCCCTGCTTTGTGAAGGGAGCCTACAGTTGAGCTGGCAAGACAAGATTTAGAGCTAGAAAAAATTAAACAATATGAGAGACAAAGGCCCATGAATGATCATGAAATGTCATTACTGAGAACTCAGTCAGAGCATCCAGGAAAGCAGGGGTCCAAGGCCCAGGCTGGGCCCCCTGTGCAGGCCGAGGCGGCACAGGGTCTAATGGAGATTGTTGGCTGCAAGGAGCCTTTGGGAATGATTGTCCTTGGCCTGGAACATCCAAGGAGTGATTTCTGAGAGGGAAGTGAAGATGAACCCAGCTGATGTGAGTGGCTTGGGCTCAGAGGAAGCGGACTTAGGGGGTACAGCTCAGTGGTGGAGCATTTGACTGCAGAGGAAATGGAGTGAGGAAGGAGGTGTGATTCGCACCACCATCACCAGCACTCCTGTAACGGCACGGAACAGTGAGTGTTGATTCTGAGTTCGGATTCCTTGAGTCATGTGATACCTTGTTTGAGTATAAACAATACTTATTTTATAGGGAAGTTCACCTGAGTTACTAATGTTGGACAGTAGCAACATATGGATAAGAAAATGAGCCGCGGAGCCCAGGTACCTGGGTTTACATCTCAGCTTTGCCATTTATTAGTTGTGTAATTGGAACTGTTCTGTGTTTTAATGTGCTCACGTGTCAAGTGGGAATAATTGCACAACCTACATCAGAGCTGTGTTGAAGATTAAATGAGCTAGCACCTCCACAGTGAATAGAAGAGTTCCAGGATGGTGGTAAACAAGTACCTTAGTGAAGAAAGACACTCCTGGCTAGCCAGAGCCAGGCATGGCATATAACCTAAACTGGAACCTGGCACTGGGCTTGCAGCTCTGCCCATTGTGGTTGGGAATGGTGGTCTCCAGCCCTTTGTGTAAGCCCTGGAAATTTGAAGGAGCCTCTCAGAATCCTTATGGCTCCTCAGCACAATGAGGTTGAAATGTGCAGCAGAAACCCGCATCATCCGGACAGCTCATCAGATGGAACTCAGTCCCTGAGCTGGTGAGTGGGACAGGACCAGAATGGAGCATCAGAGGCCCCGTCTGCTTTCTTACTCAGTTGCCTCTGCATGGGGAAGGCAGGCCTTTAAGAGGCACTTAGTCAGGAACAGAGAAATAGGGCCCCAGGTGGGCCGCCCAGTAGAGACTTAAAGTCACGTGAGCCCTCCACCACCCTGTGGCCTCTGCTTCCACAGCCCTCAGCTTCTCTGGGGCAGTCAGGCAAGTTCACACCTTTTCCCCTGTGTTCAAAGTGGGCACTGTACTTGTTCTGAACCCCAGGAGAGAGGAAGGTTATTGGGCTAATCTATGGGAAGACAAGCTTCTGGAAAGGACAGTGCTGTGAGATGGTGTTTGCCAGCCGCCATGGAATACATACGAAGATTAACATTCAGCAGAGACGCAGTGTTGAGGTGAGAAAAAGAAGGGGTGTTCCCACGGTGTACTGAGAGTGGGAGAGAAGCTGGATGCAAAACCACGTCTACACTATCCATCCCAGTTATATGTGATTTTCATATGATGATGTCTATTCTACCAAAAATACATACACAGGAAGATGACTGGAAGGAAACAGATCAAATGTTACTAGATTCTCTCAGAGTTGTGAGGTATGGATGGCTGACTTTTGTTTTCTTCTTTATATTTCTCTTTCTTCCAGGTTTTCCACAATCAGGTTATTAGTTTCACAAAATAAGAAATATTGAAAGAAAATCAGTTTAGAGTGAAGTGAGGCTTGTGCCCTTAGTAGCCTGCTGTCCAGAAAACAGCAGGGCCTGCAGGCTGCTGTCACCGCAGCACCGGTGTGAGGCCTGCCTTGTCTTTTCCTGCAGGGACCGCACCACCACCGTAGTGAACGTGGAAGGGGATGCCCTGGGTGCGGGCATTCTCCACCACCTGAATCAGAAGGCGATGAAGAAAGAGGAGCAGGAACTGAGCGAGGTGAAGGTGGAGGCCGTCCCCAACTGCAAATCGGAGGAGGAGACGTCGCCCCTGGTAACACACCAGAACCCCGCCGGCCCTGTGGCCAGCGCCCCGGAACTGGAATCCAAGGAGTCGGTTCTGTGACAGGGCTCGCTTTGGGCTTGCCTGCAGCGGCGGTGCCCGGCCTGTTAGTGCAGCTGCCGAATGCCAGACACCGCGCTCGCTCTCTGACTTTTAGCCTCCAAGCAATGCTTTGGCCCAGTCACCAGTTTGAGGATTACCTCTCGGCACAGGCATTGGGCTTCCCAGTGGGAACTGGTTACCGAAGACCAGGGCACTCTGATATTCGGCTTCATCCGTGTCCAGGTGCAACCGTGTGTGCTCTGTTTGGAAACACGCCCTCCAGCTGCCAGGCTGGGTGTGTAGCAGGCTCACAGGTCCTGGCAGTCAGAGTGTGGAACATGTACTCCTCATTGCGCCCAGTCAGCTCTGCACTGGGTGCTCTCTGGGCAAACCCAGGGGGTTTACAGTCATCTGTCACATTGCCTCATGAGCCGGAGTAATTGGAAAAATTCCTAAATTCTTACCCTTGGCTGGAATTCACTGAGCTGGGACTCGAGGTGTCTAGATTTTGTACTGTTGCGAGGTGTGGCTGGCTTCTGATTCACTGGTTGCTTGGGGGCTTGGAGGCACTGCATGTTGTCAAGTTAGAAATACTCTAGATGGTGTTAGCACTGCGGGGGTCTCTGGTCAGGGGCACTAAGTAAACAGTTTAAATTCTGAGGTCAGAGAAAGGAGGGGGCATGCAGCCTGCAGGGGAAGGGATGCACCCTATCAGGACGGGCGCACACACATACACACACACACACACACACACACACACACACACACACACAGTCATCCTTATTCTCTTATTCTCGTCCCAGCCCCTGGGGAAATTTGCTGCTTCTGTGACCTGGCCTCTGACCACACTGTAGCTTTATCCCCATCCACTCCGTTCTGGCAATAGGCAGAGAGGAGCCTCTTCCTCCATGGTCATCACATTCAGAACCCTTGTTGGTTTATCAGTCTATTATTATAATTCAACCAGACCCCTAAAATGCTGTACTGCAGCAAAACAAAGACAAAAAGAAAACCACAAACCCACTCACTAATTAGGGTGGGATGCCCCCATTCCAAGTTCCCCAGACCCCCCAGCTTTGGCTGATTTCTGTGGGCTTAGTTTCTTTTCCTGCCAGTACATCAAGATTTAAATTATAAGCCAAATGTCCGCTTCCTCCAGATGCCTACTGACTGGGTTTGAATGTAGGCGAGGAGGCTTCATAAAGAAGACCCATGTTGCCAGGGACAGGGAGGACTGAAAGGCACAAGAATGCTATTTCACTGTGGCTGTGGTGTGTATCCTTGGTGTGACCTGCAGCAAGTCCTGGGCCTGACTTTACCCCATTTGTAAAATGGGGCTGATGTCACCTGCCTCTTACCTACCTCAGAGGGATTTGGTGAGGCAAAGTTAGTGAATCCGTGAAAACAACCATTTCAGTTCTTGGATATCAAGTGCTGACACCCCAATGCTCTTAGTTTTTACCTAAGTGATACCTTTCTCCACAGAGGCCTCATCCTGCTGGTAAAAATATCTCTTACGACCAGGGCTTTGTGCTCTGTGTGCATTAATCACTTCTATCATGCCCCTCGTTCTCTTTGTAGTTATTTGATAGCATCAAGTGCAACCTCCTGATGTCGTTCAAGCGTTCCTGAATCAGCCACCCCCACCTTCCACCACATTTCTGGGTCCCTGACTTCCGTGTGACTCCAAGACCCGGGCAGCAGCTCTGCCACTCACAACAGGCCACAACGGCTCCCAGACTGTCGGCATCCTTCGTTTTCTTATTTTCCCTGTTGCCGTGGCATTGCTGTCACCCAGGCCCTGCAGAAGCGAAACACACACACACACACACACACACACACACACACACACACACACACACACGTTAGGATGTGTGTCCCATTGTACTGAGAATGGGCGGGCAGGACAGAAACAGTCAGACTTCTCTGTTTTAAAACCGGGGTTGTGTTCCTGAGTGGAAGGAGTGGGGAAGAGCCCTGCTACACAGAGCCAGTCCAGCTGGTGGGGAGGCCCAAGTCCCTCCAAATCTCTTTAAACCAGCTAAGTCTCTCCTGTCCCCTGTGAAGCCAGGAGTGACCAGGAACCAAGCTGAGAGGTGCCTGGAAACCTTTACACTCTGGCTGGTTGTTGATCCCCTTCTGTTTTTAAAAGAGAGACAATCACACTGATCCCAAATCGCAAGTGAACATTCACGATTTTTCTGCCTTCTAGAGATCTTATCTTTCCTTCTCCCACATATATCCATGGCTACATATGCACACAAATGCACATGTGTATGTGTGTTAGACACATTGTTTTAGCTCCAATCTAAGCAAGTTTGAGTTTGGATAGAGGTGATCTAACCATAAGTTTTAGGGCTTCTGCAAACTGATTCTCCTGTTTCTAAAAGTGAATTCTTTCACAAAATATAAACATCAAAGCCGTACATCCAGTGACTGCACACGCTCTGTCCCGAAACTGGCAATGCAGTAGGTAGCATGCTGTGGCCTGGAGAAGGGTGCTTCTCTATGAAATCCTGATGATCGCCCCACTTCTCCTGGGAGGAAGAAGGTGCCGTGTTTCTCCCCGTGTTTCAGTCCACAAGAGGAATCAGAGCAGGAGTGACCCAGCTGGGGAAAATCCCACTTTCTCGTTGTCTGAAGCTGTCTCCCCTGCTATTCTAACATGTTGTCATAAGTACTGTTCAGATACTGTTAATCTCTGACTGTTTTATATGTGTGACATTTGCCTTAAAACATAGCAGTCCTCAAAATGAATACAGTATTTCTACTAGGATCTGCACGCTCCTTTATTCCTTTCTTATGTTTGAAGTGGCATTTACCAATGGAGCTCTGCTCGGGCATCGCCTGAGGGTGACTGAATTGATTTTGGTTCTAGCAGCTCTTAACCAGCCTGACCCCCTGAGGCAGGGTAGGCTGACTCAGGGGGGCAGAACCCTGCAGGACGGTCCCTGATGCGGCTTGCAGGAGGTGAACGTCCAGCTGCTCCTGGCTGCTTCCTGTTCAACACTAGCAGGGCTCGTGAAAAAGTGAGTGGTTTTGCCACATACCTCCATAAAATTAAGTCTTGTCGGAACAGCTGGGTCAACAGGCCTTAACTAAGCATCTGTAAGCCATGAGCCACACTGGAAGAATGCCCCCGTCCATAGAATTACTGAGATAGTCCCTCCATGAGGCACTGGCCCAGGCCTCCACCATCATCCACACCACACCCAGCCCATCCTTTTATATAATCTCATGTTCAATGATACCACATTCCAGCACAATTAGGGAACTTAGAAGCCTCTTATAAAAGATTATCCTACAAGTTCACACTGGAAGCCTTAGTTTCCGGACCCTGGGGCCTCTGAAGAAACGGGTCCCGTTCTGACCTTGGACATTTCCAGCTCTCCGTATCATACGGACACCAGTTTTAATTTCTGGGCAAGGCCCAAAGGGATGAGAACAGAGTTTACACAGACCAAGGGCCTGATGGGGCCTGCCACTAAGGACAATTTGGATTCCCACCTTGGAGTGCAGCTGTCTTGCTTCTTGGTTTTGAAGAGTGTTTGAAGGTTGAGATCAGTACTCAGTGCTTCTGCTTTTCAAGACAGCCAAATGAAGAGGAGAGATTCCATAAGCTGCCTCTTCCCAGGGGACCAGAAATTATGCTGATCTGTTGGATCATCTGAGCCTGCTTCCAACCGCATCAATGAAGGATATGACGCAGCAAAGGAGGAGTGCGCACTGTCTGCCTTCTCTGTGACCCCAGGCACAATAACCCCTCCGTGCCTCAGCCTCCTTATCTTTAAAATGGGGATAATTTCTGGGGCGCCTGGGTGGCGCAGTCGGTTAAGCGTCGACTTCCAGCCAGGTCGCGATCTTCATGGTCGAGGAGTTGAGACCCAGCGTCCGAGTCTGGGCTGATGAGCCGGGCCTGGAGTCTGTTTCCCGTTCTTTCTACTCTCTCTGCCCCTCTCCCCTGCTCATGCTCCCCCCTTCATTCCTCTCTGTCCCAAAAATAAATAAACGTTGAAAAAAAAAATTTTTTTTTTAAAAAATGGGGATAATTTTTTTTAATTTTTTAAATGTTTTATTATTTATTTGAGAGAGAAAGAAACAGAGCACAAGCAGGGGAAGGGCAAAGAGAGAGACACATGGATAATCCAAGATCAGGCTCAGGCTCTTGAGACTTCAATAACATGAGAGCATAACGAGGGTCAAACTCACTAACCGTGAAGATCAGTGACTAAAACCAAATCAGGACTAACACTATACCCCGTCCCTAAAATGGAGACAATATTCTACTATTTTCCATATAAGTATTGTGCATGGAATGTGCTTTGGCAGTTGTTGGCTCTCAAATCAGATGCATTCAAATGTCTCTTATTCACAAAAGAAGCCCTCCACTCATGATTTCTCTCTTTTTTTTTTTTTTTTTTTTATATTTATTTATTTTTGGGACAGAGACAGAGCATGGCGGGGAGGGCAGAGAGAGGGGAACAGGTGACAGCCCAGGCTCCCTGAGCCACATCAGCCAGAGTGAAGCCGTCTGCAGACTACACAAGGCTCGAACTATGAGATCAGACCTGGCTGAGATGGGATGTAACACGACTGCGCCACCCAGGCGCCCCATGATTTCTCTCTTAACCTACATCCTCCCAAGTTGCAACTCAAGATGCCACCAGCTCCCGGGAATACCCTGCCAACAGAGATTTGCTTTCCTGGTCAAGCTCAACCTCTATTCATCGTGCTCAGGGGAGGCAAAGGCAGGATGTGGTGTGGGGGTTCTAGTCTGCCTCCCAATCGCAAGGCCTTTGACCTACATTCCCCTTTACTTGGGCCATTGATGAGTGAGTGAGTACACAGCAAGAGGGAGAATCTTAAGTTATTTGAAAGAAAACTTCCCCCTTTCGAAAGAAGACAACCCTGAGTCCTCACTGGCTTTTGTTCTTTTCAGAGAATTGGAACTGAGTATCCTAGAATTTCTCAAATCAGAATCTCAAACCTGAATTATTTGTCTTAGAAACAATATATAAAAG